AACTCCATTTTCAGATATTTGAGGTTGTGCTGAAAATAATGAGAGCAAACAAGGCAAGATAAACAATTTTTAAAAGTAAGATATAGAGGTAAAATCAAAAGTAGACAAAAACGGCCAATTACACCCTGGACCCCAGAGGGTTAATATGTTATGTTATGAAGCTTAACACTAATCTCAGCTAAGCCGATTTACTCAGGAACAAATAAAACACTGAAATAAACCAAACATTAACATTTCGAAGTTATCTAAGAGATTTATATATCATATTTAACCTGAGTAGCGAAAGACTGCGGGGGGGTCAAAACGATGGGCCAGGAGTCCGTTGTTCTTGCCAACTCTAGTGATCCTCGACCTCCCAGTCTGCTATGGAGCTGGTGGGTAACAGGCATCTCTGAAAACGTCGGAGCACGTTTGGAAATATTTGATATCTTGATAAGTCGAGCAGATATTTGAAGCTTACACATCTACATTCTCTCTTGAAAATAAATTAGTTTGTTTTGTGACCCAGAAAGAGTAATAATTAAAAGTTTTTAGCCACGCTCCGCCATTGCTGCGTTTGGGTTTTCAGTGAAATGTATTCTGGGATATTTAGCTATACCAAGTACACACAAGTCACCACCAATGCATGCTCGATAAAAAAGGCGGAGCGAGAACACATCCGCAATCACAATCTTGGCTTGATGCGTACTTCGAATTGGAACAGTATTTGGTCTCCCACTGGTAACGTATCATGACTACACGAGAACGCCCCATGACTACTTTATTCAAAAAGCTCTATATCATCATGGAGGTATCTGGTGATGAATCAAACTACACATGACCAATTTAAGATGACACAGCAACAAGATGCTATGTCAACCCTGAGTCTCCAATTTTTGTTTTAAAAGTGTGAACTTCAAAGTATGTGTCAGTTTTAAATTGTGTTGATAGGCCACGTAAAACCAGAGTTACGATAACAAATACACACAATGTTTTTTTTTTCCTGAATATTGTTGTTATGTTTACTGCAGGAAAAAAAAACAGTGTTTTCTAAGGAAAGCGCTCAAAAGCAGACTATTCTTGCGATCAAAAAAAGAAAAAAGAAAAGAAAAAAACACCTATTTCCTGGTGGTGGAAAAATGTGCCATGTCGACCACTCAGAAGATGATATGACAAAATGGCTTTGGTTGTTCAGGAAGAGGGGGAAAACGTCAGCGAGAAAGCGAAAGACAGAGCGAGTTTTGAGATGCAAGACATTAGCATGTTAGGAGAGTGTAGTAAGTGTGTCGTGCAGTCAAACATTTTGTTTTGTGTGTCAGAACAATGAGGCAACTGCTAAATGTTGCAGTTGCTGCCAAAACGCCACCAAAGGCAGCTTGCAATGTAAACGCTGGTCGAAGACACGAGGGGTGATACACCTCCTGCTTTCAGGCCTGCAGCTATCAGGCTTGTGATGTTCTTCTTTATGTTAGAGTGGACAGAAATAATTTTTAGGAGTAGCAAAAATAATTTGCATGTTATCTTATTTAATGCAGAACACCTGATTGTTCTTTAAGTACTTTGAATTGGTTATTTAAAAACTAGGAGTCGGAATTTAACGTGTTAATTGCAATTAATTAATTTGAAAAAAACAACAACATACTAAAAAAAATTACGCATTTAATTGCACTTTGTATTCCAGGCAAAAGCTAACTTTTGTCAATGCACAATTTCCTGGTATATCGATTACACTGATGCACACATCAGAGCTACAAA